TAGAGTTTACGCTTTCTTGGAGATATTGAAAAAGATACTCTTAACGTTCTCAACTTATCAACAATTTCGCTGAAGTAGGTGGAAAAACTTTGAACAAAAAGTGGAGCAGGCAGGCTGTAATCAATCTTGATAATGACAAAGAGTCGAATCGTTATGAAAACAAGCAAATCATTTTCAATTCAGTGGTTCGGTGACGGACAAGTGTCAGAGTTTTTATTCGAGCTTAGTCTCGTGGATCAGCTTGGAAGAGCGCAAGAAGGTGCATCATCTGGAAAATAGTTATAAGAATCGGCCACAACAATAATTCTAATCTAACATAATCCAAGCAAAACGTAGCGTTTAGTTTACAGATGCAAAAAAACAACTGTTGCGCAATTTTACAGCCTTCTAATGTATTTGCCAGTTGAAAGCTGTTTACTTCCTTTATGACCCCGAATAAGCTAGAAACCTCACAAACACTTGATACACAAAGATGAACGTTACCAAAGCCTTTGTAAGTTATTGCTTATCGCGTTACAAGCACGAGCAAGCGCGAACTTCCTCCTTCAGCAGAAAGGTGTCATCTGTGGATGTAGCACTAACGTGAGAAGAGACATTCAATGTACTTAAATAGTCAACAATCACTATAGCCTATCATCCTCTCAGTTTTTTTCCAAACAAATTTTTCCTTCCAGGTCCGCGCTGGGTGGGGTAGTCCAACCAGCGGTTTTAACCAATCTATCAATTATGCTTAGAAAGGTGACCCGCGCGTATTTTCTTACATTTCCTAAGTAGGGGGAACTTGGGAACACGGGTTCCTATCTCTGTTAATAGTCATTGTAAATTGCAATAATTCGTGTAGTTTTTTCATCTGGTCACGAATCTGAATGTGCAACCGCTGACTTGAATTGCATTCGACGAACATCCAATAAAAAGATGTACTAGTTGGCTGTGTGTTGGCTGAATCTGTTGGAGAGAGTACAACAGTGATTGAAGATCAAAGTATCAAAGACGGCACAAAGTAAAGAGAATGCAGGACAGCCAAAAGGTTCAATTGGAAGTGACAATGATCACCATAAGAAAACCTGCTACACTTCTTAGGATTCAAAACGCTCGATGAGGGAAACAAATATTAGTCGAAGAGCCGAAGAGGGAGCTTATGTGAAGAAGCATTGATGCATATTACCTCACATGCTCTTATGGCTCCAGAATGCTATTCAGTAAGGGCTGCAATTTAAGAGTGTGCAATCATGAAGTCTTGTGGTGCGTTTTTCATTTTCCAATAAATCAGCTTTTGCAGTTTTAAAGCAAAGGGAAAGTAGGAGCATTAGCGCAACTGAGCAGAGCTGTTCGGCCGTTGTAAAAGAGAACTGTAACAAATGGGTCACACCTAGCTGGTTGTGGAAATTTTCCGCAGTATGCGAATTTCAAGCAAAAGTGGAGGAGTTTAGACGTGCAAACTGCACTCAGCATAAATTATTGTAGTTATTATAGTTTGCATTGAAAGCAGCACAGTCATTAGCTACAGTAGTCAATACAGTTTAGCGATAAAGGTGCTGCAAAGGCATTGAGAGTAAGTAAATCTCATGACGATTGCTTCTTAAAGTGTAGCAAAGATTACTAGTGAAGCTTAGCAGTTGCAGCGCACCACAAAAAGTTTAGCTCAATTCGTTCATTAGCTGCAGAAATTCGAGTAAGCATGCAACTGGCGTACATAGAATCTACGGTCCAAATGGATTCAGGGTGCAAAGCCACATGATCTTCGAAAATTATAAGAAAATTTCCTTTTTGGTACAGAAACACGCTTTACAACATCCTTTTTACAGTTCGAAACGCGATGCCATCAATTTGCACCCATCCCCGTACATTAGTTGCAAAAGGATTGATGGCGCGATGCTGCAGTAACTGATTCAGATGTGTAACTAGGCACACGTCTATTGCTAGCAATCAACCCTAATTGGTCAGCGATTGATAATGCACACTTATATACTAGCCTAATGCAATACCTGCGTTTTATAACTACAGCAGTCCATCCTTTTTTACTCTCACTTATACTTCTGGTACTCCTTTGGCTGCTGTCAAACCTTTATTGTTACAACATATGAGCTGTCTTCATTCCATTACAGTGCCAATCTTTACGTAAATAAACTCACTCTTGCTGCAATGTTATGATTGCTGTGTAGAAGGTACTTGACTTCACAAGATGCATCATTTTTCATCCGCAATGATACTCCTACTAGCAATGAACTTTTCAGAATTTTCGTCCACTTCCATGTTTTCCTTCCTGATATCTACGAAAAAAATGCAACGATACGATATCGCTTTTTCCACCATGTAGAAATGCATTTTCCTGAACTCAACATATAAAGCTTGTTCCAAATGGCTGCTCATGAGAGCGTCGGCGATGATAGGTAAATATTAGAAATACGTGAATTCGCTCAAATAAAAAGGAAACAGTGTCATGTTTTGAGCAAAACCGTCTAGATCAAGGTGTCATACAGGTTTCGCTACCAAGACTGTGTTTCATCGCTACAGTGATACAAATTCAAAGACCCCTTACCTTACTTCTGAATCCAAATAGTCTCGTTTTTTCAAAATAACGCGTTTATGTATTTGTAGCAAAGAGATGGGGCAATTTCTGTTCGTAGTTTGAAGAAATCTTTCTGCAACTTACATAGTTTTTAATCAAGGTTTAATAGTTGGTAATTACAGTTAGTTAAGATTGGAGCAGTTTGACTGTTCACATAGGTAAACATCTGAGTCACTTTTACATCTGGGTTTGCTCGACAAACGTTGGTGATCTAGATCTTTGGAGAAGTAATTATTGTATTACATTGAGATAATTCGCTTGTTTTACAGATAGGAAGTGATTCGATGTATTAATAAGTACTTTACATGTTTATATCGTTGGATGTATGTGCGCTTATACATATGTAAACGAGTTAAAGTTTTTCGATTGGAACAATCAAAAAGGCGTGGAATATTTTTGAGGTTTTATGTTGAGTTCGTAAGGATCATTTCATTAGCTTAAGTGTGGAACGCTACAAGCTCACCGTTAGAGAGGAATCAAAAAATGCAATAGAACAAGCAGAGTAAGATTTTTTCGCGAGACAACAGCGCCAGCCTCCCCATGCTGAAAAAGTACATGATTCTTTGCAGCATATATGTTATGTGTACGCTAAATTTGTAAGAAAAGCTACGATTTTGCTGCGTCGTGGACCTTATTAATTTACATGATATCTTATCAAACGTCAATAATAAGCGCGTTTTAAGTACCTTAATTTACTGAAGAAGGATTACAAGTCGACTTGCGATTTGTAATGAAGTGCATATGAAGCGTCTTAATGAACTTATTAAGTCTCCCTTTTGTGTTTTTTAGACTATCTGGAAGTAGTTGTGAGCGAAATTGTACCTTGTAACCTATACATCAACATCATGTTGATCACGTATCCCTAAGCTGGACTTCGTAACACATCAGACATTGAAACCCCATCGACTTTATACCTTTAAACTTGTAACTTTCCGAAGAACTGTTCAGCAGATATAAGGTATAAGGTTAGATTCTCAATCGTCATCAAAAAGCATCTAGTAATATGCAATTGTCTTCAAATCGCCACTGCAACTGCGGATCCTTTTCTTGTTAGATTCAGTTCAAGTAGACTTGCTATGTATGACCTTTTGACAAGTGATTAGCTATATTATATTATTTACCCATAATTGGAGTATTACTAACAATAAATCTTTAGAAGTACTCTTAGAATGCAACTCTGAGCTCTCTTTCTTATGAGAAATATTCTCTTCTACAAGAAAGCTGTCAGTTTTGGACGTTTGCTTATGCCTTTTTAAGGTCGTGTTAAACTCCACTCTTCTTCGTTGGGGATCTCCATAAGCGAATCTCTAGGTCCTTGGTCGCTTCCATTTTCTCAGTTTCATGAAATGTCGCGGTTACATTTGCAAATTTCAGCAGACTTTTTGAAGATAACGTCGTTTGTCACCTTTTCGCGCTGCTCTCGTCCTGCTCAACGTTTTTTGTTTGCGGTGAACAATTTACTTACATTTTTTCAACTTAGAGTGCTCACAGCTTTTTATCCCTAACCAACCGGTTCACTCAGACGCAACCTGCCCTACGTGCGTTCAGTACTGGATAAAATATATCCTCTTATACAATCGATTTTATAGGTACCGCTTTGTCAAACACAAAATTTACAAAACCGAGGGTAAGTGACATTTGACCTAGCGTATCTCGTAAAGCTTCTCAAATTCTGCCGTCATATGTAGATGATGCTAAGATGATGTAGATTTCCAAAAACTGCCAAACCCTTTCGGAAAACTGTGCGTATGTATTTTTACCACCACCGCTTAGTCAGTTGTTGAAAAAACTCTCCAGTATATGATGACTTGGATGAAGTCATGATTCAACCTCCACTCGTCAAACAAATCTTGTAAATGCTGCATAAGCCATAGCTAGAATCACTATAAAAATTCTTGCGTATCGGATTTGATTTGCTTCATTCAATTTCTTCTGTCTCTTTCTTGGAAACTTCATCCACTTTTAATGCATTGCGCACGCATAAATGTCTTCGCACTCAATACTATTGCTTTCCTCAAAACGGCCTGTTAGAACAAGCTTGGTAGGTCAACAACATCCTCCTTTCAAAAACCTTCTGTTTTGCAAACTTCGTCAATCTTGTTCGTTTCTTTCCTTTAACCTCCTAATTCGTCCAACAGCATTATCTACGAACTGTGCCTCCCAATCAAAACTCAAGTTCTGTCCTGCTCACTTCACTATGCATTTGTTTCTTGGCATGCCTTGGCGAGTCAAAGTATTTTGTGGTTTTGTAGCGCTTATATCATTTACAATCCATTAGAAATCTTTGAAAAGCAAAATGTGAGGCGTACCGCATTGGCTCAGAATATGCACTCTCCATACAGCGAATTCAGAGATATGTGGTTATTTCCCACACTTAACTTGCGATTAAAAAATTTTAAACTCAAGGATTCTATTTAGCTTTTTTTCTATAGGTGAAATGCTCCTGGCAATCTTATTTTTCCTACCTAGTCTTGCGGGAGCGAGGAGATTGCTGTACCCAGCAGTCAAACGCCATGTGGTAGATGATTCAAACTGGGACGCTACAAAGCCTTGGACTGTGAACTGGATCAGCGTTAAACTGGATCATTTTACCTCGTCAGACACTCGCACATTCAAAATGAGGTAGTTTTATTTGTTTAAAACTTTAAAAATGCTCTTTTAACATAGAGAAATCTCCCAAATGCATTCTTGTACTTTCAATAATGACTTACTCTGTTACAAAAATATTGAGATAAATCAACGACGGAATGTTAAGGCCTCAAAATTGATTGACTATTGAAAGTTTGACGTAAATCATAGAACATAATACTGAGAGATCTGCACTCTAATACTGAAATGTTGAATTAGATTGGTTACGGAATGAGTTCTATCATACAAAACTCTATGTATAGTAGAATTGATAATGTGACTTACTCAGTATCACACAGTTGGTATAAGATCAACAACGGATAGCATCTAATTTTATAAATTGGCTTAGACTTATAACACCAAAAAAGCACTAAAGCAACTGGTTTCATTTTTACACTGATATCAATAATGGCATATTTTTACTGTATTTTTTGTTGAATGTCGCAAAACCTCAATCTTTTTCCGCATTTAGCACATCCGATCAAAGATATGCACAGTAAGAAATTTGCTTACATCGTTAGATGCACTCACATCTTGACCACATGTGATTTCTCTTACCGAAAGCGGTAGTGTTTGAACGCTAAACTATACTTGTTTAACCTTGTGCAGGTAATTTATCCACCGCTTGGACAGCCAATTGATCTTTGTACGATTCGACGACATCGCTTTCGACAAATGCCTCTGTAATTAACATTCATACAAAAATTGTTATACATGTCAGCTTCATATGGAACAATTGTTTGATAGCTTCTCTGTCAAAAAAGTACTCTCGCACTAACCACCTGGGGTGTTATATACCATGTAAGGTGCTTGAGACCTTCGATCATCACGATTGCTCTTGCACTTGCAAGGAAGCCGTTTTTTCTGCAGACATTCGTACATAAACGATGTCGATGAAGAAATATCATTAGTATTAATAAGTAACATGTAATTGATACCTCAAGACCTCCGCCACACTTTCCAGATCTGCCGCTGCAAAGCAAAGTTTTTCAAGAAATGAACCCGAAAATTGCATTTTGATTGGGCAACAATTATCACCCAAATGATTGTCCGCAATACAATTGTATGTAAAAGAATCAGAAGGGGAGAATAATGTGGAAAATTCTGTTTATATTTTAATTTACACCAGTAATATAGACAAGCGTTTTTCTTTAAGAGAAGCAGGCTACTGAGTCATAATAATGCAGGAAGAGTTAACAAATACTCGTTCATTTTATCCATTATTTTTTAATAAACACTCGTCCATCTATTGATTTATATCCATATTTCTCATGAAGAATGCAAATTTCCCTCTTCTTAACTTTAGCATCGCTAGTAAGCCTAGTTGGTATGCTGTTCGTGACGTTAGAATATTTATCAAAAATGGCGGCCTAACATCTCGATCAGTCGACAACTTTGGAGGCTGTGGTAGGAAATTTGTGGCTTTAGGATCTCGCGCGAAACGCGGTTGCGAAACGATTTCACAAAGGCCGCATTCTCTCCATTTTAGAAATTGTGGTTCAGGCTTGTGCAGTCAGTTACCAGCATAAGAAAGGCAACGAAAACGAGTGCATCGGTTTCAGCCATGCTTTAGAGAAGAAGGTCTGGAGCATATGCAACTTTCCAATAGATGCAAAAAAAAATTGAGCATCAAACTACCTTTTTACGTGTGTGTGTGTGTGTAGGACAGCGACTTCGCTCACCCACTAACATGCAAAACGATGTCAGTATCACTGATACTTTATGGGATGTGACACATGCTATAACAAGTGTAACAAACAGGCTTTTGACAGCCTTGCATCACAGTCGATTACATCAGTTAATACTTAGAATCCGAGCTCTATGACTTCGCCAACTTGGACTTCGTAGATTAGGACGGTCGTGGGTCCGCTTTGATCTTGCCTCACGCTGGTTATTTTTTGTGATACCTTCTAGCACGAAAAAACTAAGTTGCTTTTCTTATGCACCCACCTTAGACATTGGCACGGGACATTTCACCAAATTAGACACGGGACATTGAGATTAAAGAAAGGGAGAGTATGCAAACTTTCCGTAAATAGCTCTTAATTTTAACCATGTAGATCACATGCGCCTTTACCACCCGCCAAAAGAACACTTTACTTTTTCTACATAAGAAGTCGCTCACAGAGTTCCACTAATTAACTGGTGTCATTCTCAATTTACTCAAAAAATTGAGACTTTTTGTAGATGGCTTTTGAATAACACCTACTACAAGTTAGGAGGACCAATACTCTTTTACACTGGGAACGAAGGAGATATTGAAGACATAGCCACAATTGCTGTAAGCTTTCCAGTTTTTTCAAATTTTTCAAAAGCGAGCAAAAGTTTTAGGGCATGATGTGGGATTTGGCGCCAAGATATAACGCAGCAGTAATTCTTGCCGAACATCGTTTCTATGGTACAAGTCTTCCTTTTGGTAACGATTCATACTCGGTAAGTGTCTTTGATAATCAATCACTCTCACAGAACGAATTTTCTTCAGAGCATTGCAAACATGGGTTACTTGACATCGGAACAAGCCCTGGCGGATTTTGCAGCTTTATTGTTTGCCCTTAAAGTATTTCTCCAGAACTAACCAATTTTCCTCTGAGATAAATGTCACTCCAGACTCCAAACAATGGATTGGTGGTCTCATATCCTCAGGAAGCAAAAGTCATAGCACTTGGAGGATCCTACGGAGGAATGTTAGCAGCATGGTTTCGCTTGAAGTACCCGCATGTTATTACCGGGTATGTTTACTCGGTTTCTGTGTTATTTTTAGAGTAGAAATTACTTAAATAGCTGTAAGTATGATATGTAAAACAAAAAGTCTAGGACCAAAATACTATTAACGCGCCACTGACTGATGGAGATTACGCCTCCAACTCGCGCATGCGTAAGCTGCTCAAATAAACGTCTACACAGCTACACGAGTACAGTGTTACCGCAAAACACAGAACAATCATATCCAGGCGTACGTCTTCTCGACTGCTTCATCCGCCTTCATGGTTACGTCCTTTCTCCTTGTTGATGGGTTCCCGTAAGAAAATTATCTTTGAGCGGCAATAACGCTGTCTCTTGAAGACTATCTAAAGCTTCTTTTTTATTCTCATGACGTATCGGTGCTCCTCATTGAACACGTGTATCATTGTGTGGCATCCACGTGCAAGACCTGTCAAGGGTGGTGTGGTAGAAGCTGTGGAGAGTAATGGGGTGCTTGTCAACTGCCCTAGGGTAGAGAGGTAGCTGAGTTCGACAATTGGGTCTGAAATTTGAAATCCTAGTTGATCAACTTCCTTTCGGTCAAACCTGCTCTTAGCTTTTGTTGTGTTGTTCTTTGAATCGTGCTCATACGTCTCAGATAAGCGTAAGAAGAATTTTAGTAGCAGAGCCTTTGAACCCCACATTTAACTTTTTTAACGCAAGGGAAAAGCATTGCACCAACATTTGCAATGTAGACTTCTAAATCTTCTGCTTAGTCACACAGCAAAGCAGCAATGAAGCAACACATCAAAAACATGTGAAGACTTGGTCTTCTCAGGGTCTGGAATGTGGCACGTACTTACGCATGAATCTTGTGAAACATCTGTGTGATTGACAAGGTCCCGTACAGTGATGATATTGGATTAGGTCAAAAGAAGTGCCATCAAATCCTTTTTTGGGGATTCTTGCCTTTTCGCATACATATACGTAAAGCTATTGATTAATGAATCGCTAAATCAGCATTACCCTAAAATTTCACAGATACATCCTCACATCAAATAAGTCCGTCTACAGGTAAGTCCGCCTTCAGACAAGTCCGCCTACAGATAAGTCCGTTTTCATTTTCATTATAATCACCCTGAAATCTTGTAAGATAAGTCCGAAGAAGTAAGTCCGAACTTATCTGTAGGCGGATTTATCTGATGAGGACTTATCTACAAGACTCTTGGCGGTAAGAGGCTGCATTTTCATTGATTTTTCTTGTCAAAAGGCGGACTTATCTGCAAGATTTTAGAATACTCAAGCTGCCGCGAACGCACGCGCGTATTAACACCTTTTGCGGCTAATAAATTAGCTTTGATTAAATAAATTAGTGACAAATCACTTAATGCCTTGATAAGATGCGGTAAGCATTCGCTGCAAAAAATCGGTAAGCTTGGAAAGTATATATATACTGAAGTATATACTGAAGTGCAAAGCCTGACGTACACTTTTAAAGGATAGCGGTTGCGCACTTATTTAGAGCCTAACTGTTACTATATGAATGAAGAGGATTGAAGTAGATGACAAAAAACGCTCACAATGTTCGGAAACCTATAATGAGTGAATGTTAGCATCATTATAATTGAAACTTTCACGAACAGTTATGATACAGTTCTGTTCACATCCTTTCGCAAAGAACAATTTTGCCTGAGTGCAATGAAGGTGTCGTATGGGGGTCGCAGCTTCTCACCCAAGGCATATTCTCGTACCTAACACGGGAATGGTCAGAAGTCGAAGTGGCCAATCCATACAATCTGCGTATCATTCATTCTGTGACTAGGAGACGCGAGACTGCATTGCACACAGTGCTTAAACAAGCCTAATCGTGTACTAAGCCGGTTCATATTTGTTATTTATCTCGTCGAGGTTTATTCAATCTTTGGAAACAGGGAAGAACAAACTCAAACTTGTCAAGACCATGTCCGCAATGCGGTCAGGCGTCCCCTGGTCATGGAATAGATGATACTTCGATACAGAATAGAATGCTGATTTCAAATCTGTCTTCCATATCTGCAGAGCGCCTTTGTAGGCGAAGTTATGAGCAGCTTTACTGCGAAAAAATCGCATACAAAAATTGCGAAATTAGGCATATTAATGCTCTTTCAGCTCACCTCTAGGTATGGGCCATATGAAGTGACCTAGTTGCATGTTTGGTCCTAAACTGAGCCGAGAATGGTTTTGTACGGCCAAGTTTGCTTTTTCCACGCACAATTTAGCAAAATAATGGCCTCCAACGGCTTATAATTTCGTCCAAAAAAACGCTCTACAGATAAGCAACACAGTCTTAGAGTAGCGATTTATGCTGCATCTAATGGTATGCAGCTTGTATGGATTGGCCATTTCGACTTCTGACCATTTCCTTGTAAGTGATGTTTCTGGTAGGCACATTCGGACTCGCTATAATTGCGAGCTTCCCAGGATAACAAAACATTGCTAGCTCCGCTCCTCTTCCAGTGTCGTTTCAAAAGCTGAAATCGGAACTTCAAGAAAAGTACCAAAATCGAAATTCAGTAGCGAAATTGCTCCAATCAAGACCGAATTTCGGATTTAGGATTTCAAATCGCTTTTTTCAGTAGTCAAATCTGTTTGTTGTAAAGTTAATGTTAGCACCGATACTGCTCAAACAAGATCAGAATTCGGATTCAAATGTTTTCGGAATTTCCTTTTTTAAAACAAGACCAAAGTTCAGTTTTACCTGTTTTCGAAATCGTTTTTAGTATGTTTTTGCAATATCAATAGGTTCAATTTTTTTAAACACTTTCTGGCGGCAAAAATGTTAGCCTCATAAAAACAGAATTGTTTCCCCAGAGATGTGCGCCGTATTGGTTTTTCCTAAACTCAGTTTCAAGAGTATGTCATGCCCTAATAATGACACAGCCAAGACTTCTTGAAACACAGATCGTTGAGGTCAGTGAGGTTGGGCCAATGCCAGAAAACTCTGTAGTAGACCTAGAAGGCTCGGAATAGTGCCAAACAATAGAGGAAAACATTTTCAGCATTTTGAAAACAACCAAGTTTGGATTTATATTATGGACATTTTTCCAGTAGTTTATTCATAATTTTTTGATAACCAGTAAACCTGAATTTTCGTTTCTTTTGAAAAGGAAATTCAAATTAAACCCGATTTTGTCGGTTGGGAGTTATCGGTGCGTAACGTTGACTTTTCAGCAAACAAATCTGGAAACCAATAAATCAGAGATTTGGTCTTGATTGGAGCAATTTCGCTACTGAACTTTGACTTTGAGGGTTTCTTTGACCCAGTTTCAGCATCTGAAGCGACACTAGGTAAGGGGGGTGGATTTGCAATGTGGTATCATGAGAAGCTCGTAATTATAGCGAGTCCAAATATGCCTAGCCTGCACATCACTTACAAGGGAGGGATACTTGGTCGAAGTGGCGTCTCCATATGAGATGTATACTGTCTTATAGAGCGAGAAACGCTGATTTCATATCTGCTTTCGATATCTGCAAAGCGCTTTTGGAAATGGAGTTTTGGGAGTTTTTTGAGGTAAAATTTCAATGATTTGGCCAAGGTAAAAACGAGTGTTGAGATCTTTTCGGCGCTGGAAAGAGTAATAACTGACGTGAGTTTGTTGAACTAAAGATATTCATTGTACAAAACGCCCGATAGTAATCATGGCCTCATCTGAGCTTACGGACTCAAGTTCCGAATGATTTTAATATAGCGACAATTTCAAATTTTTGCATCAAAAATTGCCATAACTCCACTCTCAAAAGCGTTTTGCAAATAGCGAAAGCAGATTTGAAATCAGCGTTCCATGCTCTATAGGACAGTATACATCTCATATGGAGACGCCACTTCGACCAAGTATCCCTTCCTTGTTAAGTACGAATATATGGCCGGATGAGATGCTGCACCCCGTCGTATGCATTGACAGCGTTAGAGGCACTGTCCACGTAGAATTTCACCTCTCAGATTTTGGACACTTTTGACTGCTTTCGGCCTGCTGAATCCTAATCCGCCCCTTAACACGTTGACGACCGCGCCATTTTGGGCGAAACTCCCACTAACGTCCTTCGCACATTTGGCCCGTGCATACGCGCGGATGCACGAAAACATTATGTGGGAGTCTTTTTGGCACTTATTCATAAAACATACGAGCTTTGTTCAGAAATACAGGTATACCACAGAATTTTACCAGGACTTGCACAAATCAAGGTTTTTGCTTCGATTTTCCCTCCAATAAATCATTCAATGGCTATATCTGAGGAATCTCTCTTTGAGAAAATCGTGTAATACCAGGTGTTTTTTGCCTGATTCATCCTTGTTTGATTTCAAAACAGCTATACAGAGTTTTCACCTTCTCGGAGAAAAGTAATTAGCATGTATTGACTACATTAAAAGCGGACTGATTATCCAATTTTGCGGCCAGAACTTCTGAACAGCTGCCGCTATGCCCTGTGTTCTGTGAGACAATCAGGCCACTAGTAGTATTACTGCACAGAAGTTACCTTAAAACTTTTCGTTTACACCTGAAAAACTAGCGTGCATATGCGCGGATGCACGAAAATGCTAAACGGGAGTTAGGGCGTGCATACGTGCGGATACACAAGGTCATCAACGTGTTAAACTATCCAAAAATCGCAAAAACCCCTTTTTCGAGGGTCTCTTTGGAAGAGTGGTGGACGAGACGCGCTCTGCTGCAGTGTGGAAACGCTCGATGGGCGGGATTCCACGGACAGGAGGCAAGATCAGAGTACCGCCCCATTTTTGTAGACTCGTCCAAAGCAAATTGTTACTTAGACCCGTATGCACGTACATCCCCGCGGGGAGAGGGGGGGATCTGAGAGGGGAAGCATCATATCTCGCTACTCTACGTATCTTTTTTCTTCCTTCCTTATCTTCTTATCAAGGTTCTCATACCTTAATAACTGAGCATAATTGATGCCACGTTATTGCCATACAAGATTAGATATTCACTATTTCGTCTGATCCCCAAGGGATCACCTCACATTTTCAAAGTCATTTATCTTTCTGAAAAAATCATTGAAAACGCAGCAAAATTGTACTGAGGATATACTACGATACTGCTGAGCATGTTTTCGACAGAAGAAATGGAATCTGAAGTTTTTGATTTTTTCGGTAATCCCTAGCTCGCGAGCGGTTCATCGAAGATTTTGATATCTTGAGATTTCACTCATTTCTACCATAAACATGTTTAGCAGTGATGTAGTATATCCTCAGTACAATTCTAGAGCATTTTCATTGAGTTTTCAGGAAGATAAATGACTTTGAAAATGTGAGGTAATCCCCTGGGGATCCCCAGGGGATCAGACGAATTTGTAAATATCTAATCTTGTATGGCAGTAACGTGGCATCAGTTATGCTCAGTTGTTAAGGTATGAGAACCTTGATAAGCAAGATAGGAAAGGAAGAAAAAAGATACGTAGAGTAGCGAGATATGACGCTTCCCCTCTCAGATTCCCTCCCCTCCCCGCGGGGATGTACGTGCATACGGGCCTTAGAATCTACCTTTTTTTGATGGGACTTGAACTGCTGGGTTTGTTAGGAACTGCGCTCTCGTATTGCGTGGAGATTGCGCCACCCTTAGTAAACTTAGACAATGCCTTTGATGAGGGCGTAGAGGTTGAGTTCTATGCAGACTATTCAGCCTGTAGCTGGAAAATAAAGCTTGAGGTCATCGTCGAACCGAGTATAACATAAAATCATGAAGGTGTTAAGCTGCATCAGTACAACCGTACCAGTAATAACTTAATCGTTGACATAAATATCGGAAGTTTTGCAAGATTTTCAGGGCCTGGGCTGCATCAGCACCGCTCCTTTATTTTGAAGGGGCAAATGTTGATCCAGGAGCTTACTCCGCGATAGCAACAAATACATACGTGAATGCAGGTTGTAACAGATTTATCGTAGCAAACAGCTGGAATGCCATACTCAATCTCTCTTACACAGGTAAGCTCTAGAATTGGACAAAAACTATATGTAGGAAAAAAGAAACAATTCAAAACTCAAATTCTTGTTGCTTATTGACAGATTCGCAAACGAGAGTAATTAGCGATTTGTTGAAACAACCCATTGTCGTCCCTTCCAAAACATACAGGGCTCCTAAATTGCAGAGTCGTTTGCACCAGCGGTCGCGCGACGCGTCGCGCCCGGGCATCAATGGCGCCGCCTCGATCGATGCCGGCAAAATGCCCGGGCGCGACGCGGTCGCGCGACTGCTGGTGAAACGACTCTGCAATTTAGGGGCCCTGTAAATGAGCAGCCCCTGTAGTGCCAAAGTCGACAAATATCCTGATTGTAGCAACTAGTACAACAAAGAGCAGACATCATACGTGTTACCCACAGAACGCATACTACAAGGCCAATTTATAATGAACCTCTTGTTACCATGGAATCAAGGGGGTACAAACATCGCGTCAAGCACCGCGTTAGATTGGTGCTATGTGCAGTTGCTGTAACCACTTGATATTAGGAAAAGTACAAAGAATGAAGCAGTCACTTCTCGATTTCTCTAATCAAGCGGCCCCACCGAGTGCCAAAGCTCACTCACTGCTTAGCCCTAACTGGTATCAAATCGGCAGGTACTTTCAAATAAAACGATTCTTGCCTATAAAAGAAAGGCCGAAACGGATATCAGCACCGTACTGTTGGCGCAATCAGGAAAGTATAGTGATGAACCTTAATTGTGGAGTTGCATAATTACACGAACACCTGTAAAGCTCTTTTCTCACTCATCATTGCAGTTTCCCAAATTCATATTTTTTATAAAGTTACAAGCTCAAACCCCTACATTGTTTGCTACAAGTCGTCTGTCGTCAGTGGGTTAGAACATATCTAAATGAAAAATGGGCAAAGAAAACACTGAAATACCTAAACTCCCCCACTGCGGCAATTGTTCACGCGCAAGTGCTGTCGCCTCTGCAGGGCAGGTGCACGCCTCGCGAAATCCTCTCGATTATATTAGGTCATTCCGAAAGTAATTCCGCTTTTTTCAAACGGGCGCCACATTTAAAGGAAGAAAGGTTTCTAAGAGATCTTGGAAATATTCGATGCAGAATTTTATTCACTTTCTAACGGTTATGAAAATGTTGCAAAATAGTCAACGAGCTTTCAGAAAATAACCAAAATCTGCGACCCTTGCTTTTTGAGATGGTCAAGTTTCGCGATTTTTTGAAACTTTCATATCAATCCTCAGAAGGAGTTCAAGTAACGTTTCGATAGAGTAAACCTTACAGAATTCAGTGCTGCTTTTTTCTCCTTTCCATAGCTTGTCATACATTTTCAACAGAACTTTAACTGATGCTACCGATTCTCATACTTGGGCAGCTAAATCCTCGTAGAACGTCAAAAGAAGAGCAGCTCGCGCACTACTCAGTTCAGCATTTACTCCTCTTTTTAACAGGTGTTTTTTGTTTCCGATTCCTTTAGTTTCCGGGGAGAAATTATCATAACTCATTTTTCTAACGAGCCCCAGGCTGTATCCGAAAAACTCAAAATTTGATATTTCGAACCCGTAAACCCTCACCTGCTTTGTAAAATTAATGCTAGCTCATAATACCATCTTGGTAGTCTCAAATTCCGAAAAATTATGATGTTTGATGCGATTGTGGTTGAAGTGGGCCTGCCAAAATTCGATGGTTCTGCTAAAAAATCTTTTAAAAAATTACGGCGAGCTGCGAGAAAAAGACAAAGTAATACTGTATTCTGTAAGGTTTGCACTATCGAATCTTTACTTGAAATCCTTCTGAGGATTGAAATGAAAGTTTTAAAAAATCATGAAACTTGACCATCTCAAAAAGCATGGGTCGCAGATTTTGGTTATTTTCTGAAAGCTCATTGAATGTTTTGCAACATTTCCATAACCGTTAGAAAGTGAATAAAATTCTGCATCGAATGCTTCCAAGATCTCTTAGAAACCTTCCTTAAATCAAATGTGGCGCCCGTTTGAAAAAAGCGAAATTACTTTCGGAATGACTTAATATTATACATCACATTGACCAATTAGAATTTTGTATTTTCTGGGCTGGGATCTTATCAAGGCACAACGGCATCATTTGGCTGTAAACTCATATGGATTATGATTCACGTGAATAGGTGGTAGTCACTTTGTAGAGCATGCTTTCGAATAGTACCTCCATGCATTTTTCAAAATTCATACTGTAACTGTAAGCAAACAGAACGCTCATTCCTTTTGCACAGTACATTCAACTTCTCAGGTAAATGAGATGACTGGTCCTTGGAAAATCTTCAAATCTTCACTTTACCGTTATCTATTTGCTTTTTTCGCACTTGTTTTCTTGTCAAAGGCTTCTATTCTAAAGAATTATTACGAATGATAGCCACTACGTTGATAGCCTCAAGAATTTCAGAAGACGGTCGATCCTTTCTCAATACTCAGTTCAAAATTGATCCAAGATCTCAAATCAAAACATATGAGGATGGATGGAACCTCGTTAACTATTTCAGGTAACCGTCGTAGTTAAGTAACCTATTTTCTAATGTATGCTGCAAAAAGTCCCATGCATAATTCTTTCGCGTGCTAGCCTTAAACGCAGAGTCCCGGCAGATTCGCGCTCTGAGGGACATCGCTATGGTAGGGTTCCTGGTCATCTCACTGACCTATAGACGCAGTCCGGCTAGTTGATGTTCCCCCTGGGCTAAGAAAATAGCCCTTGAACCGGCGCACGCAACCCAGTCGGCGCGCGCTCAGACTTCGCTTACCGTTTGGCGCGAGACCCCAGGACCGCTCTCTCGCATTGTGCGTGCTATCCAAAGCAAAAATCGCAGCCAGCAGGGTCTTCGTCCCAGGGCCTTCCAATTTTTCATTAAAATTCTGTCCGAGCTGCCTTTTGGAAATTGGGTAAACGCCCCGAAAAAGGTCTTTTCACCCGTTTTGAAGCTCTTATTCGGAGTCTAAGGGTCGAAAAGGCCCAAAACATGCGAAAAAATGGAAATGTAAAATCTGCCGGGACACAATGCCTTCAAGAGTAATCAGTGCGCGCCTCGTACACCTGAAAATAGGATATATCTTAATGATTTCATGTCTTAAGGGAAGCCATAGACGGTATGGCAGAGGAAAACGATCCGTTTCCTAGTTCTCTCCCTGCTTGGCCAGTAAATGTAAGTCAGATCATGCTAACGCAAACCCCATCACAAATTTGCTTTTCCAAAGGTCGCCTGTTCGTTTTTGAATGCTTCCGGCACTTCGTTTACTGACGAAGAATTGGCGACGAGGATGTACAACGCTGCAAACATTTATCACAACAGTTCCGGAACACTCGAGTATAACTGCATTGACACAAGCGTTTGCGAAGATGCATACGAAGTGGATGATTATCGGTTTGCATGGTCTTGGCAGGTACGAGAATCGAATTTTGAGAATTTAGATACTGTGCGATACAAATCGTATCGTTTTTCTAGTTTAAATCACGTGCAATAACGGCTATACGTGTTTTGCTACTGCCTGAGGTTATGCCAGTCGAGAGCCGAGGGCAGATAATTGTAGCACCATGAAAAAAAATAAAATTTGAAGTACGGATCAAAATTGTTATATTGAAACTCTCATTCTCATCCCTGAATAGCTTGGGAACTACTAATTTCAGATATATCTACCTGTTTTGAGGCACAGAACGGGTTCTTTTAAAATCGAGATATACCACCGAATAGCTTAGCAGATTTGAATAAACTCTGCTAGGAAGAGAATGGAAATGTTAGGTCCTACCAAAAGTAAACTCCACTTCCGGTTACGTTAGGCTGTTTCTATTTTTCTGACAGAATTAGGGCATCATTCGATAGAGCGGGGTAGGTTCTACAAGTTGACCACCAAAAATCCACTCAAGTCGTATCCATGTAAGGTTTGGAGCCAAAAATCAGAAATTTTCAGCTACCCTAAAAATCGGATCTCCTTCGATAAAAATCCTATGGACTTCCAACTTGTTCTTTATGCAGTAGACACATAGCAATACCCAAAAATGTATTTGGTGGATTTTTCCCATGGCTCATCAAATTGGAAAACAGATGTGGTCCAAAAATGCCAAAATGCCCTTTTTTCTGTCGCGTAGAACTTGGCATTTCTCGGTTATAAAAGCACATACAAAGTTAATGTTCTGGAATTATACTTAGTAAGGCTTGTAGTATATATACAACGAAATATGTGGAAGGGATAAGGAGGAGTTTGTCAATTTTGGTCATCTTTGTCTTCTCGCTTTCTATGCGCGAAAACCAATAAAGGCATGTTTGAGTACTATTATACTCTTGGGTAAAATGACTAAGTTAAAGGTCCGTACGGTTCTTGAAAAATCCAAAAAATGTAAAAAATCTGCAAAAATTCTGAAATTGCAAAAATGCAAAGTTCCAAAAATCAAAGAAAAAAAGACAGCTCATTTTATTTATAAGGGGTTTACTTTTGGGACAATTTAATAGTTATAGCTGCGGCACTTTGCTATCGTGCCTTGCGATAATAAAAATTTGACTTTCTTCCACATTTGCGTATACCTTGGGCTAGTGCAAGCAGTGGTCAGTCCGTAAAAGGTCATAATGATACGGCACTTTGTCGCAACATTTCACTTTGAACGCAGTTTCGAAAGCCGGCAGTACTGATGCTGTGGCATTGCTGTAGGGATTTCGAATGTACAGGATGCGATGGAATTTGCGCCTAGAAACATCTTTAACATATCATGTTTTGCAGAGCAGCGATGAGTAACTTTAGCACAAAAATTTTCAATTTCTAATTTCGCTATTTGCTTTATCTAGTTGCAATGTATACTTGTTCTAGGCATGTACCGAGATCGTTATAAATATGTGCGCAAGAAGCGGCGAAAATGATTTTTATATGGATGAATGCGAGACAAACGTCACTTCTTTCTTGATCGAGCAATGCAATGAGACTTTCGCTCAGTACGTCCAGTTTTGTGGTTGATTCATGATAATATCTAGTTCAAAATTCAGTCTCAATTGGACCACAGACTTATGGAACAGGCACGCTGTTCCGTTGAAGTATGGACTATCTCTCGACAGCGTCAGCAACATAATTCTGACGTGAGGAGAAAAGCAAGCCCTATGCCAATTCTTCTGCTTCATAGTCCTTACATTTAGACAAGGAGAGATGGATCCGTGGTCCGGAGGTGGTTATACCAAAAATTCCCCTGGAGTCAGCGAGGATCAAGGAATTTACGTTATGAAGATACCTGGAGCAGCACATCAGCTTGATTTACAAACACCTAATACTTGCGACCCTAACACGGTGACAAATGCCAGGTTCCAGGTGAGCTACTGGGTATTCTATGATTTTTGTAATAAGTGGAAGAAGTAACGATGCAACTAAATCGGATTTAAAGTTATCTCAACAGTATGTATAAGATTCATACCGAAGTCTAAAGCTAATGCATCAAAAATGAAATATCCAAATTTTCCTGACTGATTGAAGTGCGTTCCGAATGAATACCACTTGGATTATACGCTGACAAAATCCCGAAATTTTTGAGTTTGCTTCAAAAACTAGCTATTCCGAAGCCGCTGTTTCCTACCAAATGGAAGTAGTTGTCTTTTCAGAATTTTTAGATGTCTCTTGAATTTTTAGCAAGCTTACAACATTAAAACTTTGTAAAAGAGAAGGATGCAGTTGCGGTAGTGTCCTTAGACTTCTTGTGAAGCTAGTCTTATTTCATAAAATAGTCAGTAACTTACGAGATTCTATAAATAACGAGACCATTTGCACACTTTTGTGACTCATATGAACCAATTCACCTTTCGCATTATTCTCTCTTCTTCATACCTCCGCATGCTCACTACGGCAAGGAAATGCTTTCTTAAAATCTATGCTTGACTGTTACTTTGAAAGGAGAATGGTGAACTGTTACTGTGTCCTGCAGAATTGTTGGTTTTAATTTTATTGTAGGCTTTTAGGCTCATGCGTTTTACGGCACATAAAGGCACCGTCCACCCAAAATCTCGAATTCAATGTTTTTGTCGCCTTCAGGCCTTTTGAAGTCCCTGATTCCAGATATGGAGGCGAAAATCCGCGAAACCCCCAAAAATTCCTGTTTCGAGAACCCTCTGGCTCCCGCCAGAGTGCCGAAGTTATGCCAGCGCTACGCCAGCATTTCGATCGATACACGTGTATTTCATTGGGGCGGGGCTAGCTCAGCAGGTAGATGTCCCCAACGAAATATACGTGTATCGATCGAAATGCTGGCGTAGCGCTGGCATAACTTCGGCACTCTGGCGGGAGCCTCTGCAACAAGCACAGGCGAGATAATTAGCTTGCTAGTGGCGCCTATTTTGCTACTTCCGGAGCGGATTTCTCGCCCCAGAGCGGTCTTTTGCGGCGAAGCTTGGAGGTCTGCCTAGTGTGGGGCCCACACTAGTATGCCATCATAATCTCGCCAACCTCCATTTTGAAAGCATTTATTGAATAAGGTGCTTTGATAATCATCACTGCTTCATCAGAGCGTTAGAAAGCATATTACGACAACTTTTGTTTTATTTGCCATATGTATTTTTTGTTCTAGTTAAAGCTCAGAACTCCTCGTTCGTAAATGTTGCGCAGATAAGGAAGGCAGGTTTAAAATCGGCGATTTATGCTCTTCGATATGGTATCTATCCTATCAGGAAAGTCCTTCGACTAAACATGGTTCCTTTGCTAGCCAAAAACTGACCACGAAAATGCATTCAAGTCACGACCATGCTTGTTTCAGATAGTGAAAATCTTGGATTGTTGGCTCCATGGATGTCAGTCGCTTCCAAGGCTTACTGATCTACCTGAAATGGTGATTCCTCCAAATGTCAACTGTACAGACCGGAGTGGAGAATATCCGTGGGGTCAGGACTCTGATGCACACAGTCCGTGGATTAAGGGTTCCAACACACCCGCACTCCCCTGGTCCCTTTGTACAATTTCACTTATCATATGGGTATTGCGAGTGTAGATATTTTGCTTCCATTGTATACCATTGAGTAATGCTGGTATGTGCAATGCTTTACAAGGGAAGAATATAATGCTTGGTGGCAGGGATCGCTCAAAATGAGATTTCTACCAGTACATCCAATTTGAAATGCTAACTCAGTGTCTGCTCTGCATGAAAAACAAATTTTTTATACAAAGTTTTGAAATGCGTGGAGTTTCTGAGTGTTAAGTTGGACGGAGTGGCACAAAAACTTCAACTTTGCTCTAAACTTGATTCAGATGATTCTTGTAAATCAAATAATCGAGTCATGTGTCAAAATTTTGCACTTTTCATAAATTGGCGCATAAAAACTTACATAGCCCCTTTCGGAAAATCGTATCGCCGTTTTCAAGGGCAGATCTTCATTCAGCATGTCATGTACGCGTGTAATGGTACGAATCTCATTACAAATAGTCACGGTCGGTCATCAAGTATCTATGCCTTCCCAGTCGTGTAGCAATATTTCTGTGATTTCAATGCTAAGTAATCTTATTCACTTTACATATCTTCCTCAGAGCTTAACTTTTTAGTTTTTATTTTGTAAAAAAATTTCTGAAGAATAAGCACTTTTTTCTTATTCTTGTTTTATTCTACCTACTCCATAATATGATAAAGAAACACGGTCTTGCTAGATCTAATACCGTAAGCACAATGGGGACTGAATTATCCATTTTTTGGCCTCTGCGGACAACTAGTCTTTTTGTTATGTTGTTGCATGTCTTTGAGGACCAGTAGTCCAGGATGCTGTCCAAAATATCGGAGCTCGTCCCCCTAACCCAACGACTTTCGCTGATTATTGTTCAAAGAGAAGAGGTTTTGCTAGTGCTAATTTTACACAAAAGCAGGAAGAATAGATAAAAAGGAAGAGCAATGCCTGTTGGTGAATCGTCTCCTGACCCAAAACCTTTGCAAATGTATAAAGTTGAAGACTAGCTGAGTGACTAGTACAATCAGACATATGCTGTGAAATCGTAGGGTGAAATCCGGTTCTTTTCTTATTGCTGCCGAACTTTGCGGTCAAAAATCACACAATTGGGATGGCGTGAAAGCGACACGATTTCTACGCTTATTTTCTGGTCTGTAATAGCCTTATTTCACCTTACTCCTTTGACACGTTCATATTACAAAAAACTATGGTGGTCCTGGTGGTTTTTTGGGCCGCTTGATGAAGAAATTTTTGCATTTTCAACAATTCATAAAATTATTCCAACTTCCTATAAGTGAAAACAGTTTATTCTCAATCTTATGCAAGTGGACTATTTTTGAAAGTTCATCTCCCCCCCCCCCCCCCTCTCCTACATTTCCGTCCGCTACTGTTTGAGAATTTACATCCCCTCAAGTCGAACAAATTCTATTGCACCCATTAAATAATTGTAACCTATTCCTGTCACCACAATCTTTGGCAGTGATATTGTTTGAAAGAGTAAATCATGTATATTCTAACAATTCCTGCTTATTCTCTACTGATTTATCAGAAAGAAAGAGACAATAGCAAATGAAAGAGAAAGAAATAAAAATGTAAAGAATCACCTGAAGTGTGCTGATTTGAAGCAGACCCTTAAAATGCAAAATTATGCAATAATTGAATTCGATGTGACCAGAAACAATCATGCTCCTTGTACAAACTTTACTATCGCGTTAGCTCATTACCCTTTATCTCCTACCAGAGACGTTATCAGTAAAATTACCGACTTCGCAACTTCAACATTCGTTTAGTGTCCCACCTATCACCTTGAACACTGAACAAATTTACAGTTGCGCAACTCATTTTTTTCTACACACGTTTGTTCAGAATGCTATTCGTCTTTTTACTTTTACCCGGATTAATGGAATCGAGAAGATTCTTGGATCCAGCAGCTCGACATCGCGTGGCTGTGTCAAATGGAGACGCCACGATGCCTTGGACGGTCAATTGGTTTGACGTCAAGCTCGATCATTTTACATATTCCGACACTCGTACTTTCCAGATGAAGTGGGTGAATTCATTTGCTTTATGATTTAAAATTCCAAATTCAATCATTTTGCTGTTTAAATAATATAATAGCTCACAAGGGAAGGATTCCAACTTACAATCTCTAGAAAACGACGCATACACTCGTTTTCAGCTCGAAAAGCTAATTCCAAATATGCCGTTCGTAGCTGCTGAGCTTCATTCTGAAGCGAATTATACTTTTTAGATTTATGAATGAAATATTGCTTATTGTGAGGCAGCCCCGCTCCCAGAAATCAGCAGGAAAAAGTAGTGGGTTAGTAGAAAATCAGATTGAGTTTTCTCTTTGAAACAGAATTTTGACGCAAGGGCAAAAGCACAAAACAATGATACCGTAATATCTATAAGTCGATAAAAGCACCTTTTTACATAAATAAGCCAGATTGATGCTCAACGGCTAGCAACTTCGTATTTGGAGTCAGCTCTTGAAGGTTAATCCGAATTTATGTGCTGTTGAAGGGCAGAAGGTGCTTTTCAGTCTGAATGAGTAATTTTTCGGTGTTAGAATTAAATTGCCATCAATGCGGTTTTGTCCATAATATGCACAGCTTTGCAAACTATTAGGTTGTCCCAAAAGTTCTGCCATTTCATTTTTAAAAAATGTTTTGCGACTTTTCGCTATTTTGACGGGTTTGCTTTTTTGTAATTTTGTTACAATGAAAAGGTCTTCTTCCTGTAGTTGTTCAGTAGTTGTATTTTGATAAGCTTTTACCATACCCTCATCGTAAAGATACATGGAAAAGTAAGATCACCCAAGCTTCGATCATTTTAGCTGTCGCAAAGAATCTAGGATCTTGCAAAAAAATCTGAAATCGTCATTGCATAAGTTTATGACCCTCTCTTTATAGCAAGGAAAAATTGTGCCGTTTGGGCAATTCTGCGAGAAGTTGTGATCTCAAAAGTGAAGAATTGATCAATTCTGACGTTGTCTATTGTAAATCCGAAATTTATAACTTTCCGCAGAAACGTTAAGACAGCACAATTTTTTCTCACTTACAAAAAGAGGTCGTAAAAATTATGCACTCACGATTTCAAATTTTTCCGCAACTTTTCAGATATTTTGCGATCTAACTCAAAATGAGAAGCCTGAACAATATTCCTTTTCCTTTTTTATTTCTGCACTAATGCATAGTAGAAGCTCGCCAAAACACATCTAGAAGGAGAAGACCTCTTCCTTCCAATAAAATTATAAAAAAACCAATCCTTCAAGATAGCAAAAAGCTAGAAATTTTCAAAAATGAAACAACAAAACTTTGGGGGACAACTTAATATCTCTCTGAAAGCAATGTAGGTTGCATGGTGCACAACAAACAACAAGGCCGTTAGGCTGAATTAAGAATCACTTCGGAAACATAATAGTTTCTATCGATTTTGCTTGAGGAAACTGTCATTTGTTTTCTACGGAAAGTCTTCCTGGCTTTGAGCAAATAAGGTAATATGTTAGCAAACCTGTTAGCCTTTAGCAACAGACAGGCATTATAGCTGACTCAGCCTTCTTTATCATGTCTTCCGAAGCTTATCAACTCCAAAATGACTGAACTACGTGATTACATCAGATCTTTTAATCATGTACAAATTCTAGTCAAATTCAAAGTAACAAAAACGAGGGAGAAAGCCTACGACATAGGCCTACGAAGTTTGAAACTGATGTGTCTCACGACTCAAACCTCTCAATGTAAACTATTTTGATGCTAAGCTCCTTTATTCCAAATACATACTGTAGTTAAGAAATCCGTAATAAATGCAAAGAGCTGCAATACATTTGAATTTCTGGAACACGGCTGCTGATAGTTCAGAATTTAGATTTAGGATGAAATTCTGCATGAATTTGATTAGCATACATACTTGAACACATTATCGTTTCTAGAGTTGAGCTGTAGCGAGTTGGCGATGAAACGATCTCTCAGTTGTATCTCAACAGTCAACTTTAACATGAAAAATTGATAAGCTACTTTATCAGATGGTAAAAGGTGACAAACTCATTTACTACAGATGGCTCTTGAACAACACCTACTATAAGCCTGGAGGCCCAATATTCTTTTATACGGGAAACGAAGGCGATGTTGAAGGTTTCGCAACAGCTACTGTAAGTGCACATATTTTTTTCCAAAAATGGTAAGTGTTGTATTTTGAGGGTATGATGTGGGATCTTGCCCCAATGTTCAACGCTGCAATAATCTTTGCCGAACATCGCTTTTACGGTGCAAGTCTACCTTTCGGGAACGAATCGTACTCGGTCACTTGCCGGAAATGAATTCTTGTTCTTATCGCAGACTTATAATTTTCAGAGCATTGAAAACATGGGATATTTGACGTCAGAGCAAGCCCTCGCAGATTTCGCAGCTCTCTTGTTTACCTTGAAGGTCTTTAGCGATTGCAATGTTGACAAACTAAATGTCAGGGTGACTTTAGACACCCAATAATGGTATGCCGGTATCATATCCTAAAAGCACAACAGTAATAGCTTTTGGTGGATCCTACGGTGGAATGTTGTCGGCATGGTTCCGTATTAAGTACCCTCATGTCGTTACCGGGTGAGTTTTGAGTAGAAACATCACTCATGGCGAGGAGACATCAAAAAATCTTTTTAGTGCCTGGGCTGCGTCAGCGCCGTTGCTCTATTTTAGAGGAGGAAATGTTGACCAAGGAGCTTTCGATGCCATAACAACGAATACATTCGTGAATGCTGGCTGCAATAGATACATCGTAGCACATAGCTGGAATGCTATTCTAAATCTCTCATCAACAGGTGAACTGCAAAACCTGCGTCCTGATGTTTGTGCCAGCACAAATACAACTTTGGACGCTGCTTAAATGATAAGATATTTCGACGAAGTGGAAAAGAGAATATTAACTTCAATTTACGTCACTGTGCCGGAATAATCAGTGTCATTATCGATTTCACGAGATTATGAGATTGCATTCTAGCGTGTTGATGTCCAGTTTCCAACAACAAGAACTTGTCCAGTTACTGTAGAGACTGAAGTGTTAGAATCGCAACCAGCATAGCATAAAACCCAATGTGTTAGACAAATGGGTTCCTCAACAATTTTGCCATGGAAGTACAAGACAATGGTGCTGAGCAATTAAGCTCATTGTAAGTTAATCAAGCTGACAGACATACAGAGTGTCCCAAAAAGATATGCACACTGTTTGATCGTTAATAACTTTCATACTCTTGCGTTTTTTACCGATCTTGAGGTATTCTGTAGAGCGGTTCAACTTAGATTTGCAGTATGAAAGGGATCATCAATCACTTCGCTACTGTAGGATTACGGTATGAACTTTCAGCATACAGCGTCACTATGAAATAGGACCTTTGATGAAATAATTTCGAAAAATCTAAAAATTTGTGTTGCAAGGTTTTCAGGCGTGCTAATTTCACTACATAACTTTCCACCAGTTTTTGGAGCTTTCTTGTTGGCGTATTCACATTTCTGACCAACATTGTAAAATCGGTTGTTACCCTAAATCTAAAATAACTCATAAAAGACCAGTGTGCTAACGTAAAATCTTCATATTTAGAATCAGCGACTTCAATTAGGCCACTTCAAGAGTTTCTGGCTTGGTTGGCTTTCTTTTCGAGGCAGAATACTTTGGATTGCTCAAATCCTCCTCGAAGTTTTTACTGTAATTCCACATTCCATTAATAAAGAGCGATTGATAATTCCCTCTATACTATAAACCTAAGCTGAATCTCGCTCTACAGAATGGCACCCCAAGCTCGGCAAATGACATGAAAGCAAGAGAGTTATTAACAATCACTGTGCACATCTTTTTGGGACACCCTGTACTTCGCATTACTGTATCAACCACTTACTCTTTTCACTACAGTTCCTTACTAATTTCAATTCATTCATTTTCAATTTGCGAAGTACTGGTTAGCTAAGAATTCGGAAGTACTCGAGAAAATTTGTGGATTTTTTGAATGAAAATTTTGGTTGCCTCGCAAAAAACTATCAAAAATCTCACTGGACCAGGATAGCTTTTACTTGAATAAGTTTACAGTCGAGTAGATTTCCCGCTTAATATAGTGTGCTTGCACAGAAGGTGAAATGCGGTGAAACTTGCGCGTGAACAATTAGCGACGCCAGTACTGCGGGAGTCTTGCGCGCGCAATTAGCCGGCGTCACAGTCAAAGCTATTTCTTCACGCCCACCCTTTACCGCATTTCACCTTCTGTGCAAGCACAATATATTAAGCAGAAAATCTACTCGACTGTATGTTCAAATCCTCTTAAATGTGTCTCCAATTCTTCCAGCTGAAGGACGAGATTTCCTCAATACTCAGTTCAATATTGATCCTAAATCAAAAATCAATTCAACAGCTGATGGATGGAATCTCAATTACTACTTCAGGTAACATCCATAGGGAAGCGCACTAGCATTAATTATTACAAGATTTTAGGGAAGCAATCGAATACATGGCAATGGTTGACTATCCATATCCCACCGGCTTTCTTAAACCGCTTCCTGCGTGGCCCGTTAAAGTATGCCTCATTACGTTGACGAATTTTTTCAACTCTGGTGATTTTCTAAGTGTGAACTTTCTTTCAGGTTGCCTGTTCATTTATGAGTACTCCCGGTGATTCATTCAGCGACAAAGAGTTGGCGACGCGAATGTATTATGCTTCTAATGTTTACTACAATCACACCGGCTCATTAAAATATAACTGCATTGATCCAGACGTTTGCGGAGATCCAGGAACTTCCGGACTTGGTGGCGCTCAGCTTGGATGGCCTTGGCAGGTGCGGAGATTTTGAATCAAAGATTTTTCCAATAAAAATGAAATGAATTAAGGACTAGTAAGGTAAGAATGAATTTCGGTAATGTTAGGAATAAAAATTAAGTGTATGTAAGTTGAAATTAGTTGACACTGATGTTTGGAGCACTCCTAACGGTAATTGCTTGACTGCGGAAATAATGTCGCAGAGACCTCAGCGACAGACCTGTTGTTACGATCCGTGGGCTCACGCTGCTTAGATGCCTGAGGCCCAGTGCTCACCCGATAGTAAGCGACGTACCTATTCGTGCTATCGATGCGCGGCTAAAACAATTAGTCTCAAAGTGTGGTTCTTGAGAGGTCACTCAACAAATCCAGTGTGCGACGTCAAGGCTTGAACGTGAGCCTTTAACGCTCCCTAGCTTTCGAGTTCAACCTCATCTTTATTTCAATCACAGATCAGCTTTACAGCGTGGCTCAAATTCACTAACTGATCTAATACAAAATATTTACCAATTAGACATCTACGAATCCGACAAGCATCCGCCTCAACTTTTTTCAAGGAAAAGCAGGAGCATATCGCGCTGCTTTAGTCCATTTTAAAAGATAATGGCGACAAAAGTCGAACAAGCGCTGAAGAGGCGGCCGTCTTATGAAATCCCTATTTGTATCCCTAATTATCCCTATTTGTTTTTGTATCCCTAATTATCCCTATTTGTGAATATGAGATCCAATAAGTGTTCTTTGCATGTATTGGATTTGACTTGCTGCACAATTTGTAAAGCCTACACATTTGGATGAGGTTTCTGATAGATATGGACGCTGGTTCTGAGGTGGAGTGGTCTTCCCAATTCACTTTTGGTAGGTTGAAATCTCCCATAAGGACTGCCGAATTTTGACGGGCTAATAGATCGGTAAGTCGCAGAGTGGTAAACGCCATAATGTCGTAACACAAAATTTCGTAACCCTCTAACACAGACTCTCTAAACACTAAAAATGAATTTAACTTCTTTTCAATGGCCAGTAGTACCCCTCCTCCCCTCTTGTCTAACCTGTCACATCTGTGTATATCATAGTCCCGAGGCAAACCTCCGAAAAGAGAGCTATTAGAAATATTCTCGTTCAACCAAGTTTCAGTTATTGCTACTATAGAAATCTTATGTTTGGTAAAAATAAACCTGAGATGATCCATATTCTTGCACAGAGAGCGCGCATTAGCAAGCATACACTTCAAGAAGCTACCTTCAATCCGGGAAATCATTGACTGTTCAAAGGCACACGCCCCGGCGTACCATGTTGCGCGTTTTCGGATAAACCATTTTGTCCAATACAATCGATACCTTGTGTTAGTCTTTGTTGATGATCAAAATGCCTTGCGCTGGAACGAGTGCCCCTTTCGTTGCGTAATCTGTCCCTCTCTTCTTTTTTAAGAGAGGAGCGGATGTAGATCCCATGTGCATATGGGAAACTTTTCAACTTAGGTGCCCTCTTCAGCGCAAGGTTTACAAAAAACGGGACGACATTACTATTCTTAAGAGTCTATTATAAGTGGGATGAAGTTTTCCCATCCTATACACGGAAATGGGGATGCAATCAATAAAGAAGTAGTCAAAAAGCTGATTAACACAATCCCAATCATGGTTTACTCTCAGCCAACTACTAGGGCATCTATTCTCTGGAACACCGCTTATCACTAAAGAATGGAGACGATCACGTTCTTCACACGTACAATCGGAATCTGAACTGGAATTTGATTTAGATGTAGAAGATTGAGTGGAGGGCAAAGGTTGCGGCGGAGATCGCTCACTACAAGATCTTAGGCGCTCATTATCCTTACGCAATGTATTGATTTCCTCACTCATTGTTTCAAGTTGAACAAGTAACTCACGATTCTGTTCGGCGACCATTTCATAGAGTTTCCGATTCTCCATCAAAAACGCCACGATGGTTCTTGTGTAAAGTGGGAGATTCTCGTCTTTTAGTAACTCTTACGCGGCTTGGTTGAAGTCTGGAGGTGTGGCGTCGAACTGTATCCTGCGCTTCTTTTGCCGTTCGATGGGATTGAGGGAATAAATGGGGTTTCTGTCGCCATCGTGGGGAGGTAGAAGGGCTTGAATACAGGATTAGCAGAAGAATTTAGCCAGAGTCGTAAGGACGTACGGGAGCACGGCAGAGGGATCACAAATCGACCGCTCGCGGGCAAGCCAGGGTGCCGAATGGCAGGCCAGGGTGCCGCATCAGGTTCGGGGGCAATACGCGTAACGGCTACCAAAATCCGAGATGCGGATCACGGTGGCCGCCGGATAGCGCGGCAACCGCTGATCCCGGCATCCTTTTTTCAAGGATTGCCTTGCATCGCGAGAGACAAGCGTCATTTCCGTGCTATACTGGGCTTCTCTTTTTTACAACTCAAACTGATAGCAAAAGCACGCTGCTGCAAGTTAACCTACACTATATTTATGCTTTATTATTTGTGCCGAACTATGGTTATACTGCCTATAATGTGGTTTACTGTCTTCCTTAGGGCCGCATGCATTTACATTCCCGCCTGCGAGGGGACCAACTTAAAAGAAAGCTTCATGTGCTAAAGCTCCAGATATCTGGATTTCACGTTGTCTACCTATCCGTAAGTACTCCCACCATTCTTCACTATGAACATCATGAAAGGGAGCGAGAAGCTGTACAAGCCGCATTTTCCAGCTTTTTGTATGTTCCCCTGATAATCCCTCGCGGTCGACCGTCTTCTCTTCAAAGTAATTCTTTTTTTTCAAAGTCAATAAAACATTTCAAAGTTGTGCTGTTTATCCACCCAACAGTGCTAATGATGTTCTTGGTAAAAACTAGTAATGTTTCGAAGTCATGAAATTTGCGACGAACCACAAGTCGAAAGTTAGGGTTTATCGAAAAAATTGATATCCCAAAAACTCATTTGTTCTTATCAGTAACATGCTTAGCTATGTTGGATTTGATAATTAGCACAATTCTGGAAGGTTTTTTCGTTAACTTCAAAGGAAGAAAAATGACTTTGAAGAAAACACGTTTGGCCGCGAATCATCACGAGATCACACAAAAAGCTGGAAGCGGCTTATACAGCTTCTTGCTCCCGTTCAATATGTTCATAGTGAAAGATGGTGGAAATACTTACGAATAGATATACAGCGTGAAGTCCAGATTTCTGGAACTTAAGGATATGAAGCTTTTTTCTGAAGCTGCGATTTCCTCCCCGGTGGAGACGTTGATGCATGCGGCCCTTAGGGAGACGACAGAATGTCGACAAAGCGACAGTGTTGTGAAAATTAGCTTTTACAGCTAACACGCCATAGACTCAACTTAGGGCTGTTTCAGCTGAGCTGGGATGACAGAGATCTACAGAGATTCATGTCTACATTTTGCAATTATACTTTAGCCGTGTTGCAAAAACTTGCTTGTTATTTCCTTCTTATAATTCCAGTGTTTTCACTCCATTCTGATCGCTACTTTTTGTTTCAGGAGTGCAGCGAGATCGTTATAGACATGTGTTCAAGAGGAGGCAAAAACGATTTCTTCTGGGATGAGTGTCAGACAGACTCCACGGCTTTGCTAATAGAGCAATGCAATGCAACCTTTGCATCGTAAGTTCAAAACTTCAACTGTAGACCAAAATATGGCGAAATCGCAGGTATCATTGGACAACAGATGTGTGGAACATCAATGCTGTACCATTGCTATATGGACTATCCCTCAACAGCGTTAGCAACATTATTTTGACGTGGGAAGAAATGATTTCGTCTTTGCTGCATAATTTACCATTTTATTATTTCGGTTTGCTGTATTTAGACAAGGAGAGCTGGATCCATGGTCTGGAGGAGGTTACGCCACAAACTCTCCAGGAGTCAGTCAAGACCGAGGCATCTATGTAATGAAGATACCAGGATCAGCACATCATTTGGATTTGCGGACACCAAATACTTGTGATCCCAACACGATTACAAACGCCAGATATCAGGTGCGTGAAGGAGCCCATGGGACGCTTTCCTATAGCTGAACTACTGAAACGGCCTTGACTCAGCCTCTTAACACATTCACGACAATACGACCCACCGGTGGATCGTACGTGTTCTGCCATTTCGGACACGACCCATCGGTGGGTCGTATGCTTTCTGAAGTTTTTGATTTTGTTAGTTCACGGTAAAACTTTTTAGACAAGCCGACTAAACTCCGCATACACCTCTTAGAGTACTTCCCAAAAGATTAGCACTTCAGACCACAGGGCTCATCAGTGACCTAAAAATATTCCGCAAACTCAGTTTTGCGGATTATTTTTATTGCGAAATATGCTCTGGTCCGAAATGGCAGTCAGCGAAAAATCGGCCCTGTCGTGAATGCGTTAAGACTTTTCTAGCGATATAGTCATTACTTGATTCATTATTGGAAATTTCAACTATCGAATTAGTTAATTTTGTACCAATTTACTTTGAAGTTGTCTTAGCATTGATGGGGACATCAATTACCACCTTTGTAGTTATCAGCACTAAAGCCGTGTATGATAGAAATACAGTGACCGCCAAGAAGTGCGGACTAATCGCCTTCCTTTTTTCATCGCTCATTTTCAATTCAAAACAAAGATGTGAAATTATCGGACGTATGATATGATGGAGCTTTCCAAGAGCTACAATGCAATTCTCAAAAAAACATGGGTTTTTAAGAACTGAAAATCTTTTATCAAAAAAGTCCAAAAGGGCTGCGTCACAATATCGCGGGGGGGGGGGTGGTGCAGGAGGAACCAAAGGCCTGCCGCATGTAGCCGTAGGAGATAATTGAGTGCGCGAGCGCTATGGAGAATACTTTGGCAAGGGTCCAAGAAAACTTGGCAAAGATATCCCTTCGGAACATGTCTTCATAATTTGCCTGGAGATGGCCTTGAAAATTTTGAAAAACAGATTTATAATGCAAATTGGCAGACGCATTCATTAGGCCTAAAAGTAAGTGAAACTTTGGTATTGTAATGGTAAGAAAAGTTAACTTTCTTATACAAACTTTTTGTTTTATGAATTTTGAAATTACAGATTGTTGAAGACCGGGATCTTCATTCAAATTCATTTTTTTCTTCGAAATAAAGGAATGATTTGCCTTGTGATTCAATGAATCAAAGCAATCAAAATGTCATGAAGACACATCTGGAGGCTTATATCAAGATGCAATTGAAGTCTGTCTCATAACTTCAAACCTATTCTAATTTCAAGTTTTGACACTAGAGATTTCAAAGGTTTGCTATTCAAATTATGTCGGTAATCCTTTTGAGGTTATACACATTAAAAGAAATTCATCAATTTATCACATGCAACAACTTAGTTAACATTATTTCCTGTTTATCATTCCCTACTTTCACGTTCCAATCCAGAAATTTCCCCTAAAAAATTCACATAAAATCTTACACACAGCATTGAACCTGAAATTCTCCAGGAACTTTGAAGGCTCACTCTTCGGTTATAATAGGACTCGAGTAGTGAGACAGAGTAGTTTATTTATCAGGTAGGCGTTTTACTTAAAAAAATGCGCATTGAATACTGATTCCAAATGTGTCCTTCGTATACTTGAAAGTTAATTCTGAAAAGAGTTATAAGAGTTTGTTTCTAATGGATGTCCTCTCCTAATTTTCCTGGATCCTTGCCAAAATCTTCTCCTCAGCGATCGCGCTCCTAATTATCTCCTACGGCTACAGGCGGCAGGCCTTTGGTTCCTCCTGCACCGCATCCATATCGCGGGCAACATCTCATCAAAAGCGAGAATCTTCTTCCAGTTTCTTTTTTGAAGCGGAAACACAAGTAAGTACACAGGTGAGCATGATACTACATACAGCTCATCAGGAACTACAGTGTAGTTAGCTGCCTAAAAAAGCACCAGCTTAAATTCTATTTTGCATTTTTAGAGACTAACTTTCGAAGCAGAAACTGATCAGAACTGACCCCACCCATAACAAATAAGCTATATATCGTCGGACTTGACTTGTTTACGCTGATTTCAAATATACAGTGTGTTTCAGAAAGATGTGCACACTGTTTGATCGCTAATAACTCTCCTGCTTTCATGTCTTTTGCCAAGCTTGAGGCACCATAGAGCGAGGCAACTTAGATCCTCAGTATGGAGCGAACTATCAGCCGCTCTTCATTACTGTAGGATTACGGTAGGAACTTCGAGGAGGTTTTTAAGCCATTGAAAGCAGTATTTTACCTTAAAAAGAGAGCCAAACAAGCCAGAAACCTCTGAAATGGTTAATCGAAGTCGCTGATTCTAATGAAATTGCATGTCTGTACAGTGTTATTCCAGATTTAGGGTGACAACTGATTTTTCAATGTTCGTCAGAAATGTGATTACGCCATCGAGAAAGCTCGAAAAACTGGTGGAAAGTTATTAGTAGAATCAGCACGCCGAAAAACCTTGCCACACATATTTTCAGATCTTAGAATTATTTCGTCAAAAGGCCTATTCCACAGTGCCGCTGTATGCTAAAAGTTTACACGTTAATCGTACAGTAATGGGAAGTGATTGGTAATTCGCTCCATACTGTAAATCTGACTTTATCCTTATCCTCGGTCCACAGAATGGTACCTCAAGCTCGGCAACAGACATGAAAGCAAGAGAGTTATTAACACATTGACGACAGCGTGACCCACATGCTGGGTCATGGCTAAAAATTCGTCAAAATGAATACAATCTTGAGGTGAATTAGTTTCAGAAGTTCTCTTAGGCTCTGTCTCTACGAGTCACTACCGCATTTCATTTCTGCTCCTTAAAATTACCGTAGTTTTACTGTAGACGACGATCTGTTTAATTTTAGCTGAAAATTTTCAACTTTATCGTGGAAGGCATTGTCCCACATAGCAGACAACTGAAAATGCGCGTTGTCGTCAACGTGTTAACAATTAAACAGTTGGACATCTTTTTGGGGCAGCCTGTATGTTTATTATCTGCCAAGCGACTATTTGGACGGAATCATGGGCTTTGAATGTGCGATTTGTCAAGTGTTCTGTGAGGCATGACCACAAAATGCGTTTCAAAAACACCAGCTTAGGTTTTCGGTGAATGTATATCTTCCCTGTAATCAGAGCACCTATATCCAGTGTAAATCCGCGCCATCAGATTGCCTTCCTACCAATTATATTCGTTGGAACTCATATAATTTTTCCTATCCAAACACTCATAACTCGGTCCAAATAGTCGCTTGGCAGATATAAAAGCATATAACTGAAATCAGCGTTTCAAGACAAGCCCGATGATATACAGCATGTGTGAAATAGTTGAGTTAAGTTCTGACCAGGGTCAAGCAAGGGCTGTGGCACAGGATCGCTGAATAAGGCCCCCCTCCTAGTTGCAGTAAGCCCCCCCCCCTAAACTACTGCATTCCTAAAATGGGCATAACTTGAAGGTCACAAGTATAGCGAGTAATATGTTCATAATAAGCATGTCAAATAACCCCTGTGGACGAAGCGGGCGAAAAATGAAATTTCCAGATACTGGGCCATCTGAGTGAGATGGTCATTTTCGAACATGATTAACTTGTTTCAAAAATGAATTAGCTACCTCAATTTGCACTCAGTACAAAGCGCTGCTCCTTCTTTGCCCACCTCAGAAATCCCGCTTCAAAAAACCTTCAAGTAGAATTAGAAGCCAACCACAATCTCGTTTTTTTTCTATTCTTCGCTCTGAAAGCTATGTTTTAACCAACTGGCTGGCTTGTACTTCTACTAAGAGCAAAGAAGATGAGTCATGCTCAAATCACTCCTATGAAATCTACGAGCTTGAAACTATCGACTCATATAGATAATGTCTTGCCAAGAATGTCTTCTGGCATAGTAAATGCGGTGTAGCACATTTCCAAAAAAGCTGTGGCTGCCACACCTCCTTTGGGGTTGTGCCACACCCCATTAACTTACATTGAAAGATACTTTCAGCCAGCAATGTTTATATGAAGCTGATAGCTTGAAGCTTGTAGATTTCAATGAAATAATATAAGCATGATTCTTCTTCTTTCTTTTGAGTAACAGCTGGTGATGGCACAGCTTTCAGACGCGAAGAATAGAAAAAACGAGATTTTGGTTGGCTCTTACTTCTACAATTTGGAGATCTGTTGAAGCGGACGCATAGAACGCTGCTTTTGAATCTGCCTTCCGTATCTGCAGAGGCCTTTGTAGGCGAATTTATGAGCAGCTTCTTTGCGAAAAAATCGTACATAAAGATTGCGAAATTAGGCACATTATTGCTCTCTCAACTCATCCCTAGATACGGGCCTCATGAATTGGCCTACTTGCGTGTTTTGGCTTAACATTGACCCGAGAATGGCTTTGTACGGCCAAGTTTGACCTTTACACGCACGATTTCTTAGCAAAATAATGACCTTCAACGGCATATAATTTCATCCACAAAAGCGCTCTGCAGATAAGGAAAGCAGATTTAGAGTCAGCGTTTCATGCTGCATCTAACGGTGTATAATTTGCTCGAATTGGCCACTTCGAGTTTTGACCATTTCCTTGTGAGTGCAAAAAAAGGTAGCTAATTCTTCTTTGAAACGAAGTCAATCATGTTCGAAAATGACTATCTCACTCAGGCGGCCCAATATCTGGAAATTTCAGAACTCGCCCAAATTTCATCCAAAGTTATTTGCTGCTAATTATGAACATATTACTCGCTATGATTGGTAGGGCATTTTCATCATGCTACAGTAGGCATGACGAGTCAAGATTTACGTGCTTGTATTTCGCATAATGGGGTTATCTCTAACTGCTTGAAAACAACATATTATCACTATTATGTCAGTTTACTCAATCACGACCCCCTTCCCGTTGTAACTCTTCAATAAACCCCCCCCCCCCCAGGTGTGGCGTGCCACACCCCACGCTTGACCGCGGTTTGACCATTTCCTACTAAGCAAATCTTTTCACACAGAAACGGATTTTCAAAACGTCTTAACAAAGCCGTTTTGATAAAGTGGATGCTGTTCCATGCTTTATGCATCGGTCGTGTGCTGGTGAGTTTCTTTGCCTGAAA